TTTCACAATATTACTGTTTTGCTGTATTTTTGATCACATAAAGGCAGCCTTACAAAACATAAGAGACTTAAAAAAAATTTTTTTTAAATCTTACAGCCTGTTTATTTATTTTAACCTTTATGTAACCAGGAAACTGGCCAAGAAAGGCAGCAAATTAACATATACACAACCAATTAATAATAAAACAACAACATATCTAATTGAACAACATAAACCATCAAAATGCAATTTTTTTATTTTTTAAGATGGTCTATTGTGATACAAGGTGTTTCAAGAAGTGTCCTTTTTTTATGAGAGATTATTTGAAATCCAGTCATCACATGGGTTTCAGAGGTTAATGATAATCATGGGTGATTGAATGGAAAAGCAGACATAGTAGTCATAGAAATAGAGGTCTTATTAGTTTCTAGTGATCTAATGAAGGCAGTGTCTCACTCACAGGTTTGATCCCTGCTGAGCTTCAGCAGCTGTGGAAAGAGACTGCAGATGCACGGCAGGAGGAGAAGAGTAGAGGAGACAAATCCCCCTCTCCTCCCAAAACTCAGATGCTCAACCACCACTCCAGCACTAACGGACACCATGTGCACCGGCCCAGCCGGAGAGACAGGTACTTATCATTAAACTTTTTTTTTTGTCTTGAGCAAATATTTTATTGCATTCAAGCATGTGCTGTTTATTTAGATTTAGCCAGAAATCATGTGTTTGTTGTTCTTAAGAATACTGTGTTAATATTTCCACTTGATGCTCTCTCGCTCCAAATGTTAAAATTGAGTGCTGAGTAGTGAATAAACAACAGGAAACTGGAGCACTTTGGTAGCAGGTTAATTAACTCACCAAACGCATCCTATGTGAGATTAATCAGATATGTACACAACATAAACATATTACAACATGCATCTGCACAAAAAAAATGCAAATTTGCAGCAGTACTATGTCCTTGTCTAAAACTTGATTTTGACATAAAATATATACATTTTCTGCCCCCATATCTTGAATTTTGTGATCATTCTAAATATATTTTAATAGACTGAATCATGCAGTGATAGAAAGAAGTCTAAATGTGCACTAGTCTAGACTTCACGTAATGTATGCGTGCACTCTGTAGGGGTGTTTTGAATGGTTTTCTCAATATTTAGATTTTTTTGCACCCTCAGATTCCAGATTTTCAAATAGTTGTATCTCAGCCAAATATTGTCCTATCCTAACAAACCATACATCAATGGAAAGATTATTTATTCAGCTTTCAGATGATGCATAAATCTCAATTTCGAAAAATTGACACTTATATCGCACACCCCTAGTATGTCATAAAACATACTTTCTTTTGTGTAATAACGGTAAATACCACTTTATTTCCGTGTGACTAATTTTCAATCCTGACAGATTAATTCATTATGATCAATGTAACACTAACTATTGTAAAACTAGTAAACCATTGATGCTTTTGGATTTAAATCTTTTCAGTAAACAACAAACAATGCAAACAAACGGCCGCTTTTATCATGTTCGTTTTGTGATCGCGCTAGTTGCAGTGATTTATTTCCAATTAGTTTTCTGATAAATCTTCTCTTTGTTGGTGAAATGCTGGGGTTGCATGACGTTGTTTTGGAGAGGCGTGTAAAGGGCAGGTTTTAGTGAAGCCCTTCTGGCCCGACGGTGGAAAAGTGGCTACTGTGTACTTACTCGTTAAGATTAATTAGTATATGTTGATGTGGCTGTACTTGGTTTATGTCATCTTGTTTTTGTTTTTTAATGAAAGTCTATTTCTTTCTTAACTGTTTCTTTCTTAATTCTTTCTAAACCTCCAAATATTACAACAAAGTATGAAGATGAGACCTAAACACTAGTCTATAGATTAATTTGTGTTATATAACAGACAGATAAATGCATTACTATTAACGTATTACTGAAGAATCTAAATGTCTGCTTGTTTACCTGGAAATCAGTGAAATATGTTGTGTAACGTTCACTGAGAGCAGAAACTTAAAAACCAGAAAACTGAGCTGAACAAATGACAGGAAGGACAACACAACAGCAATAACAGTATATTAATATACAGACGCAGTCAACAGTTTTGGCACAAATGTAACGCCATACTGATCAGTTTAACAGTGAGCTGTTCAGATCAGTAGTGAGCCGAGTCTCTTGTGCGCTGAGCGTTTGGGTCTCACTGCGCTTCATTACAGAGACACTGCTCATCTGAACATGATTCACACCGGAGGTCAAAGGTCAGCGTCTGCCTCAGTGTTCAGTCAGATAGTGATCCGTCTCCCTCTGCTGAGCACATGGCTGGGTTCGTCGTGGGTTTACAGGCTGTTTGTGACATATAAACTCGGCGGGAGATAAATGACCAGAGCAATTAAGATGTTGAAATGCGAGTTCAAACACGGTGAGTTCCCACAGCGCGCTCACAGACGTGCGGCGAGTTACGGCTCTCAGAGGCCATGATGATGATGATGATGATGATGTGTGTATGAGGATATTAAAGTCTTATCAGGCTGATGGAGAGCAGGCGTGTGGCGTGTGTTTGGCCTGCAGGAAGGGCTGCGCGTCACACCCGAACACGCTCAGCTCACCATCCAGCCTTTCATTTCCTCCTCAACGCCACTAATTACACTCATTTTAGCTTAAATTAAATGCAATCGAATTTGACTGTGGCAGTAAATCTCGCGGTGCCGTTACCCAGAATTCTCAGAGCACAGGGCCATTTAGCGGCGACCGCGAGTCATGATGTCACTGGACGCGGCGTGAGAAACACACGCAGACAGCCGCTGGATCTCATGGAAACACAATGAGAAATTATATTTAGCATAACGATAATGAAGCCTGTTTTTAGGGCTTCAGCCAGAAATCATCCTTCTGTTAGTCTTCTTTTAGTCTCGCTTGTGTCCTTCAGACCTGTGTGACTGACTCTCCTCTGTGGAACATGAAAGAAGATATTTTGAGAAATGTATTGTAAATGTAATGGTTTTTTTTGTGTGCGTCCATGAAATGAAAGTCAAAATATCAGAAGAAAGATAGTCATACAGGATTGGAACGAGTGCAGTAAATGACAGAATGATCATTTTCATGATAATACAGCACTCATGCAGCAGACGTGTGTGTGTGTGTGTGAGTGAGTGAGTCAGTGTGAGTGTGTGTGTGTGTGAGTATGTGTGTGTATGAGAGTGAGTGCGTGTGTGTGTGGGAGTGTGAGCGTGTGTGTGTGGGAGTGTGAGCGTGTGTGTGTGTGAGAGAGTGAGTGTGTGTGTGCGAGTGAGTGAGTGAGTGAGTGAGTGTGTGTGTGTGTGTGTGTG